GTGTGTGTGTGTGTGTGTGTGTGTGTGTGTGTGTGTGTGTGTGTGTGTGTGTGTGTGTGTGTGTGTGTGTGTGTGTGTGTGCGATATTTCTGCACAAGCCTCCCTGAACTGAATCTATACCATTGAACACATTTATCAAACAGCAGTTAAACCTATTACATCATGTCAGCTTAGCATGATTTTCCACTTTCTTTTTATTTACACATTTGAAAAGTCTTCCATTCACACAGAAATATTAGCAATTCTGATAGTCACACATTGCACATGTACATTACACCAGTAACTTTAAGAGAGGGAAGTCTGAGTATCACAGAGACAGAAGTGTAAACTTCTTTCCAGTAGCAGACACAGGTCATGACCTCTGTCTCTTTTCTAATCTTAGACAGCAATGAATTCCAGACAGACTGGTGGTCAAAGGTCACTTCCACCTCACATACTTTAAAAGATGGTTGAATTAACACAGAGGAAAAGAAACATCACTCAGACACACAAAACTGGAGGTGACAATTCAAAACAGTATACTACTGTATTACTCTACTATTTCTGTACACAAACTTTCAGTATCCATGAACAGTAATACTCAGATGGCCACTTTACACTGTTTACTATATCAAAGAGCACACTTTTACTATGAATTACCATTTTGAACATCTATTTCTTTACTGATTAAACAGCCAAATGAACATTTAAAAATGTTTCTAATAAAATTTTTAAAGGTGATTACTGGCCAAATTAAACATGCAAATGTGAAGAGATCATGTGAGCTCATATGTATTTAATTGCAAACAGTACCATAGACTCTTGAAATGTTTAATGCTTTCATTTTTATATATATAAAAATAATACATAACATAAAACAACTTAAAACTTATAGTCGGCATGAAACAGAAAATGTGATTATCTTTTGTTCCCTGCGTGATTATCTTTTGTTCCCTGTATATCCAAGTAAAATGTTTTTTTTAACCTAGAAAAAATGTAGGGTGGGACTTGATTGGATTGTTGGATCATTGTCATTTGCTAATTGCTGCGATCTCCTGTGAGTGTTAGCAAACTCGCACACCTTTTGTGCAGTCTTGCCCAGTCCAGCCCTCCATGCACTGCTGATTGCCGAACTGATCGCATGTGTAATGGCCAAAGTAATCATCTCGGGGGCGACACTGTTTGTTGCACTTGTTGCCGTAGTAATGGCGGTCACAGCGCACACGCACACTGTACTGGATGCTGGCTGTTCGGCCCTTCTGCTGAATGAGCTGTCGCTCCTCTCCAGGGTTCATTTCTCCACGATTAACACTCCTCTCGATCAACAGATCATCACCTATGAGAGAGACAAAAAACATTCATTTATACGGTATATATATATATATCTACTGTATATATATATATATATATTGTGTGTGTGTGTGTGTGTATTACGAAGCACGGCCTGTCTTCCTGCTTCAGTGGAACACACACTTGTCTCAGACTGCTTGGGAGCCAGTGAGGAAATAATACAATCAGGAACAGACCAGGAAGAACCCCCCACCCCCCCAAGAAAACACACACACACCCAAACTCCCTCTCGAGAAGCAAAGAGAAATGCTGTGCCCTTGCGAACAGCTACAGTCACAATGTAGGGGAGCGGGAAAGTCTGTTTGTGGGTGTGTGTGGGTGTGTGTGTGGGAAAAAGACAAACAGCATCTTAAAGTGCGAGAGAACACAACATCAACAATGATTCAAATCTAATCTGTGCCGTTCATGAAGGTGGGTGTTGGCCTGAGATTCTCACATTGCAGCACTTTCCATTCCAAACAAGAAATTCACACCTGATTAAATTAGCAATATCATCGTCTAGGGAATAGGGATATGATAGGGATATGGCTGAATAAGGGGGTGACTTGATCATCCGAGGCCCAATCACGTACCTGAGGCCAGAGACTCATTTGCATATTACCAAATGAGCAGTAAAATTTACTCTAATTTGTCTAAATAAACAACAATAAAATAAATCACTTAAATGCTTAAAGGGGTCATATGACGTTGCTAAAAAGAACATTATGTTGTGTATTTGGTGTAATGCAATGTGTTTATGCGGTTTCAGGTTCAAAAAACACATTATTTTCCACATAATGTACATTATTGTTGCTCCTCTATGCCCCGCCTTTCTGAAACGCGTCAATTTTTACAAAGCTCATCGTTCTGAAAAGCGAGGTGTGCTCTGATTGGCCAGCTATCCAGTGCATTGTGATTGGCCGAATACCTCAACCGTGTGACGGAAATGTTATGCCCTTAACATACTGTGATGCCATCTCCCAGCACGACGAGACAAAACCAATGAAACCCAATACAAACATCCACCCTACTCTTTAAAATCATGATTGCATTACAGTATGTTGATTTAAACCCTAAATATTTTACTTACAACTTCATTATAATTATTCATTAATAATTATCTAGTTATGTGTAATGTTAATTGTAAAAAAAAGAAGAATACAAATATTGAAAGTAGTTTCAATGTAGCTAGCAATTTTTTGATAGTAACTTGTGGTGTAGCTAGCTACATTTTCAAAAGGGTAGCTTGAATGTAGCTTAACTACTTTACGAGTAGCTTGTAGCTGGTCAAGCTACAGTTTCAGAGTAGCTTCCCCAACACTGATAATAATAATGACAATGGTAATATGCTAATTAGTATCATCAGCTGTATATTACATTATTCGCGTCGATAGCTCTTTCTGTCTGGATTCCAGCTAGCAGCTCCCTTGAATGTTTATTATAAAAAACAACCATGTTTTTCTAACAGAATTGCAAAGAAATAATCTACATCTTCAATTCAAAACCCAGACGACGATGACTTGTTTAGAACAGACATCATTCAATGTAAGGTAATATGGGGAGTTGTTTAGTCTGGCCCACCGTGACGTGGTTATGCAGTATCTGCATCGAAATATTTGTGTGCAAAGAATTTTCTTGAATGTGCATACAAACTGCAAAATAATATTGGCGAACGCTTTTGCACTTTTTTTCTGGCAATCGCTCCGGTGCATATGTGTTTGCGGAGAGCGTCAAAGGTTTGTATTTGCAGCATTGGGCAATGTAGCCAATCACAGACATATCTGTTGATTTCTTGAACACAATAGCCATTCAGTTAGCCAGAATCCACTCACCGCTAAAGATGCCGTTTTTGTTCAGTGCAGAGTTCTGCATGATATATATCTCATTATAACAAAGAATAGATTAATTGATTATAATGGAACTTTGTGAGATCGCGATGAACTGAAGTGAGTGGCAGCTTTTTAGTGATTATAAAGGGAGTGCTCTTTGCGCACTTTCTAGGCTATAGGCTATATAAATCAATTCAGAATTTGAATTTTACATTTTGAATAAAGGGTTTATTTTTAGTGATGCAAAGCGGACCAGCGGCCATGCAAATGCTGTAAATTTTCGCGAGTGACATGCTACGTGCGGTATTCACTTTTGAAACTGCAGCACTGAGTGCAAGGGACAAAAATATAATTTGTCTAAATATATATGCCTTAAGCAATGTAATTGCATATAATAAATTAAAATCAAATATCTAAATTATTTATATTTAAATAATTGTATCCAATGAAATATTTGTATCACAATGTTATTAAAATGCTGTTGCAATTATTTGTAAAAGTAATGACTTGTAAATCTTGCAAGTCTCTCATTCACTGTGCTTGTTATTCTTGCTATGGAGGCGCTTTCGAGCTGCTTGTTTCTGCACTTAGAGCACCCTCACTAATGAATCAGTGAAATGGTTCGGGAACACTTTCACTTTATTAGTTTTTCCTGATCAGAAAGCTATTTGATTTGTTAAAACTGTTCCATTTACGCATGACCACATAAATATGTCTCCTCAAAAATAATATAAATACGATCTTCAATTATTTATTTTTTGCTTTTAATTGAGCCGGGTGATGCAAAATATTCAGGCCTACTCACCAAAAACTTCCTGTATCTGCCACTTTGTGTGTGTTTAGTTGAGAAGGGGACTGGAGGTCGAGAGAGAGACACAGTAGTGGGTATGTTGATTGTGTTGAGTGACAGTACACACAGGAGCTGACAGTGGAAAACACACAGATTGCCTGAGTCTATAATACTGCCACCATAACCAGACCTGTCCTTTACTTCACCGGAGCATTAGTGCATGGCTTATGATTATGGTGTGTGTGTGTGTGTGTTTGTGTGGTAACTGTCATGGTCAATGTTCCCTCTTAGCTAATGTTGCTCCAGCACAGACCCCCCACAAAAAAAAAAAAAAAAAGTCTGCACAGAAGGCAGACTCAAATGGGGGGAAAAAGCTAGCGGGTTATTGAGTCAGAGCTAAATGAATGGGCATCGTTTCAACTGGAGTCCATCCACGTGTCCGTGTTTGTGTGGTAACTGTCATGGTCAATGTTCCCTCTTAGCTAATGTTGCTCCAGCACAGACCCCCCACAAAAAAAAAAAAAAAAGTCTGCACAGAAGGCAGACTCAAATGTGTGGAAAAAGCTAGCGAGTTATTGAGTCAGAGCTAAATGAATGGGCATCGTTTCAACTGGAGTCCATCCACGTGTCCATTGCTTTTCAGTATGGAACAAAAACTGTGGGAAATCTTGATGTGTGGAAGTATGCAGCGATGATTAATTCATAAAATAAGGGCTGCATCCTAAAATAGTACAATGATTTCCAGAAGCACCTAGTGCATGGCTCATGGTTCATATAGACATATACAATGTAATAAAAGATAATAATTATTTCCCAAAGTCTTTGGAGCATAACAACTAGTATAATTTGTTTTAAAAAATAAACCAGAAAGGGCAAAACAGCTAAAATGTTCACAAGCTACTAAAAATCTGAAAGCTATTTCCCTTTTCTCTCTTTTTCTCCACCTACTGGCTTACTGGACTGTGGTGCATTGTGGTATTGGAATGTGTTGATTGATGTCTGAGTAATGTTTGTTTAATTTTAAAAATAGAAACTGTCATGTTCTCGCTGCCTGTGCCGTTCCATTTTAGCAAAGCTCTGCTGTGCAGCACATTTGACTACAGATAATCAGACTATCATTGCAGTATTTTTTTTCTACAGTTATAAACATAATTGATCAAATTAATATTTTATGATTCTTGCTTTTTGATTGGTTATAATGCATTTAATGATTTGCATATCGCTGGAGAGATTCACAGAGCTGTTTTATTGATAATGTGGACAAATGTGTATGTGCATACAGTAACGTGGTTAATATGATGTTAATATTATAAAATGCTGATTAATTTTGTTTTTATTAATCATCCCTTATGAGCGAGTGTGTGTGTGTGTGTTATTAGAAAAGTGCATTTACATTGAATAAAAGTAGCCTTTGTTTAAAAGTCAACATGAAATGGCATTACTTCCATAATCTGACATATTTCCAAGTGAAAATGTAGGTTGGGATTTGATTTTGTCCATGGGAATTGATTTGATTGGCTGTTACACACCAGACTGGAGGGAAGAGGTTGAAATGCAAGAGGGATTCCATTTCAAATTGTTGGCGATAAGAGCAGAAATGCATCAAAAAGGTAAATGGGGTGAAATGTTACTTCATATCCACTCCAGTTTGTGTTTTTGCATATCATGTGTTCTCTTGAATGCTCAGGTGCCTCTGCAGGAGGCTTGCACAGAGAAAGGGGTTCTGGGTGCTCTTACAGCGCAGCTTCATGCCAAACATGAGTCTTTTTCGTCTGCGTCCTGAGCTTTCATTCACAGGCTGGACACTTGTGGGATATTATCACGTGGTGAGCTCAACAGACGACCCTCTATCCTCTCTCTCTGCTCAACTCTCTTCTCACTGATGGTATTCATACAGAGGTCACATTGATTCGAAATGTCTGGATATTGTAATCCTGTTTTATATGCTCTGGGAAAGCCAGGCTGGGAACTGTCTTTGCAGAGACATTTGTTATCTAGGACTGTCAATGTTAATACATTTACTTATGAGATTAATTTATGTTTAATGGTGTTACATTTGTTTGTTCTGTTCAGTGGGATTTATGGTGAAACAAATTGCATCTTCTTTCACATGTTAGTCTGGGTACCAGTTAATTATGTTTAAAAAAAAATACTTCTCGGGGTATATATCAATTATTTCTAAATAATATAAATACAATACATTCAAAAATGTTTATATGATAGATGGATGGTTAGATAAATGCATACTTTTTTAGAATAAAGTTTTTATTGTAGTAAATTAATGATAAAATCAAATTACGTAATCTCATCTTTCATGGACTGAATGTTCAGGCTCAGGCAAGAACGA